TTTGATGAGAATTTTCCATAGTCGCAAAGTGCATGTAAAGACCACTTTGAATCAATGAGATCTATCAAAATGCACCAGAAAATAATATTATTTTATTTTTGCATTGTTTTCGTATCAACCTTTTGATTCTATAATTTTAATACTAGATTTTTTGTGCTGACATCATAAATGTGTAAGACTCAAATAACATACGCAAAAAGTTTGATCGGGTTTATATAAAATTTGATACAGAGATACTTTTTTGCTTAAATGGAACAATTAATAGGTACTTTTTATTAAAAAAAAAAACAAGGTACACGTTTTACGTTCGCAGATAGGTCTGCGAGTAATAATGATTTTTTTTATTTCTATAAAAAGAAACGTATTTAGGAGTTAGTGACAGTTGAATGTTTCGGAAAAATGCCTTTTTTGGTTAGGTGAAGGGATAATAAATAAATAAATATTTCCAACACTCACACCAATTAGCCTAGCCCCAAAGTAAGCACTATAAGGCTTGTGTTATGGGATACTAGGGTAACGGATAGAATACACATACTTTACATATATAAGTATATTTATATAGAAATACATATTTAAACATCCATGACTGGAGTACAAATGCTCGTGTTCATCACACAAATATCTGCCCCCACCGGGATTCGAACCCGGGACCTCTCGAGTCGGCGACGCCATGAAACCCGGCGTACAAACCACTCGGCCACGGAGGTCGTCAAAATAATATCAACAAAGTACTGTCACTGCTCTCAAACTGTAGCCCTAGCACGCACCATTATCATTGATTCATGACATTGACATTTCGCACTCGCAAACTATTCGAATTCGATATTGGTTCGTGCTAAGGGTACTACTGGTGGTTAGTTTTCTGTCTCTCAGACGTAAAGACAGTTTTTTGTTTTTTTTTTTTATCTTATTCTTTTTTGTTTATTTCTATACTGGCTGTGACTGCCTTACACCCGTCTGGTTTATTTTCACCGTAAGCATGGTGAAAACCCCGTGAAATGCTTTACGCGCGTTTCGGGATCAGCCAGCGAACAAACAGAGCGCGAGTGGAGGCATCCGTTGAACCGATGCCGGGAGGACTGCATCGACCCGCCGGCCAGGGAGACCCGTAGAAACGGCTGTCCCACTGGCCGCCCGTGGCACAGTAAAGGGGCCCGAGCGTTCCTAACCAGTTCGCAAGGCTGCCCTATCATGTCACGTATAATCTGGAGGTGGACCGCCGTGCCGGTTGGTGACCGGGGCGTAGGGTCCCGGCCGCCACTCCCGGGGGGTCGGGGGCTTCCGTCTGGTGGGTCGGCGTATCTCTTTCTTAGGCAGTTACTCGGGAAAACATGCCTCCACATATTTGCCTGACTTTGCGACTAACTCCACTCGATTCCCGTCTCCCAATTTTTTCATATGCTGGCAGCCCGTAAAACAAAGTTTGGTTGTACAGCGATGCACACCCCCACGCCTTCCGCGCTGTTTGAGGTTGAGTTCTGTAACATACGCGGACTCCACTCTAACCTCAATGCTGTCCACCATCATCTTGAGACAGCAAAGCCAGCATTGTTGTTTCTCACAGAGACACAAATACTACCGCCCGCTGATACAAGCTACCTTAAATACCCCGGCTACGTGCTTGAACAATCCTTCAAAGCAAAAGCCAGCGTATGCCTGTATGTTCGGGCGGATGTTTGTTGTCGCCGTTTGAGCTGCTTGATAGACCCCTCCTTCTCTATGTTGGCGGTACATGTAGACTCTGGTCCTTTGGCCAGAGTCTACGTGTGCCTCTATAGATCCCACACCGGCGACGATGAGACAACTCGACTGTTTGCCCACCTTATTAGGGCAGCAGATGATGCCCAGACGCAATTTCCCAACGCAGAACTGGTGTTTTTGGGGGACTTTAACGCCCACCACGGTTTGTAGCTGGGCTCCTCTAAAACTGACCATGCAGGGATCTCTGCCCATGCATTCGCTCTCACGCATGACTTGACACAACTGGTCGATCAGCCCACCAGGATCCCTTATATAGTAAGTCAAGCGTCTTCTTTGCTAGACTTTCTGCTTACAACTTACTCAGAGCGGATGTCCAACGTGTAGCACGTACTGGCCACGAATTGTTATGTTAACACACCCTACGGGGCTCCCGTAGTTTTTGGCGTTTGGCTAAGGCCGTGCAGCACAACTTCTGCCAGCCCTCGCTGCTACCTCTGCGATGTCCAGATGGGGCACTAGCTCATTGGGAGCTAGATGGATAGCTCAGATGGGTTTTACACAGAAATTTTGCCAATGTCTTACTTTTATTAGCCAATTAGTGTTGTGTGACTAACGTCTTAGTGACATTAGAGTTGTTCACAGCTTGCAGGAATTCCTGAATACTGAATTTGCTTGTAAGATAAAGAACAAGATGGCCTGCGCACACAGTACCCTTAGCACGAACCATTATCGAATTCGAATAGTTGAATTCGATCTCGATACACATAAAATGTTAAGAAGTTTAAATGAAATATTTTTAATTATTGTTCCGTACGTTGTGGCACTGTTGAAATTCCCATACAAAACTTCTTGGCATTTGACGCGTATCGAGATCGACTCGAACTATTCGAATTCGATATTGGTTGGTGCTAAGGGAACAGTAATTAAAAGTTTATTGACAGATAGACCTGTTACGAAAACGAGTCTTATTAATTTATTATTGGTAATGCCAAATTTGGCGTCGTTGAGATTATATTTAACAACATCGACCAATGAGAATGCGAAATCAACTTTGCTTAAAAAATATTTAAAATAGTCATGTTTCCCGATTTTTTTAAGTAATGTAATTTAATAAATTACGTGTGTGTTGTGGAACACTCGGTTGAAACGATGTGAAAAATATATAGTCCCATTCACCAATCCGCATTGGGACCGCGTGGCGAGTTACGGCCCAATCTCCCTATACCATAAAATAAGTATTGTATATTATAGTAGTCCTGAAATTCATTAAGCACCTTCATTTTATTACTCAAATTTAAACTTACATAAATAAATATGAATAAACTCTAAGATATTTCGTAAACCTACTTTATTTATAGTCAAATTCAAGAGTGCGCGTTGTATGACAGATTACTGACTGAAATATTAGTCAGTTTATTTGCGCACTGTACGGCTTAACCAAAGTTATATTTACATTACGGCGAGTTTAAATATCATAGGATTCAGATTTATTTTACGCTGTTAGTGATAGCAAACATCCGTAGCTTCTCTTCAAATTCTACTATTTGTTTTGACATTTGACGTTAACGTAAATAACGGGTTTTTATATCTAATAAATTACAGCTTTTTATACCAATGGAACAAAAGCAGCATTACCTCGGTGCTCCGCTCAGTAAATTCTTTAGCTCCTACATCTACACCCAAATTTAGGGCAAGGCTGCAATAGTTCCTCGTTACCCCATAATTTAGTGGAATGTCTACAAACTAATTTCACTTGGCGATCATGAAGCTACAAACCGTTTAAACGGTTGCTTGCGTCTGTTCTGTACTATAGTATCACCATAAACTTAACTGGTTGAAAGCTACAATAATATTTAACAGCTGGGAATTTCCTTATTACCTACGCTGAATACAGTTTTATCTCGGAAAAAAGTTATTATTATTTTGAAAAGCATTTAAAATAATGCATATAAGAAACCGACTTCATAGAAATCCAAATCCTAAAAAATAATGAATTTTGCAATGTTCCTTCTACCTACACAAGTGGTATTTTGATATTGCATTCCATTTGAGTTTTTGATTAATATCAATGTAGTACTTACGCTTGGTAATCAATAATGGAGCTAAGCAAGTAGTATTTTAATATATAAAAATGATGTCAAACGAGCATTTCGTACGCTTGATGGTAAGTGGCCGTCATAGCTGTGGTCATAGCTTGTATACACTAACGTTATGACTCACACCGTTGCCTACCCTAACACAATACCTAACTCATCGACAGGATAACAATACCCCAAAAAGTTAGATTAATTTTACTCTCTGTGGAAGTTAATTGTTGCTTTTCTTTTCCCTTCAGGGTGGGAGGAGAAAATTCCGTTAAGCGCTACTTATCGTGTGGCTGTGCTCCTGTAGGAAGGCCAAAGGGGAAGATCTTCCTCCGAGCTGGGTGATGGTAGTTCGGGTACCGTCACCTCAGTGTAGGGAGGCCAAAGGGGATGATCTTCCTCCGAGCTGGGTGATGGTAGCTCGGGGGCCGCTACCTCAAGTGTAGGGAGGCAAAAGGGAAAGAGCTTCCTCCGAGCTGGGCCATGGTAGCTCGGGGCGGCCCCCGAGCTACCATCACCCAGCTCGTAGGAAGATATTCCCCTTTTTTCTTACATTCTTTTTACATTCCATCCATTTCGAATTTGCTGAACACCTATATTACATTTCTGAAAAACAAAATCTTTCTTTGGCCCTAAATTCTTGCACGTATCGTAACACTCTAGCGAAGTCTAGTGGAAAGCAACTCTATAAGCCTTATTTACACATTCCAAATCAGCGAACTAACCAAACTCCATTAAGAAATAACCACAATTACAAATAATATCAAGAATTCTGAGAAATAACAGAATTTCGGGGTTTTAGTGGAACAACAGAGTTCGTCAACGAAGTTTGACGGCAATCCGATAACTAATTAAACAAGTAGCACATCATTTGTAAAACAAACAGTAAGCCAACAATTACCCTTTCACTTCCAAACGGCTGGAGTCATGTAAACCCAGCACAAACAATGCGCTGACCTGGAAATCTCAGAAGTGTTTCGGCCCAAAGATTAATTACCCAAACATCTCGGCTAATCTCGAAATCTGTGTGCACTAGAGCGAAATAAATAATCATCCCAACGTTAAATGCAATATAATTTTCCAACTGTGATACGTTTAAAATGTATTTATAATAATTTGTACTGGTTAGCTAAGCCAGTCAGTCGTGGGAAACTAGCAAATGCGTGAGTGCTGTTAGGAGACGTCAATATTGAAGAATCTGATAGTGCCAGCGATATGGAAGAACAAATTAATAATGGCGTAGACAAGCAAAAAGTAAGTGTCCGATATCTTTTTCTGCGAATGTTTTTCCTGTTCTATTTCCATTTCTTATCTAATTCCTCAGCAAAATTGGTGATATACAAATTTTGCTGAACGAACATTATTGAAGCAGGAACAATAAATTTGTCCTGTTACTCATCAGACTAGAATCTTTGAATATTTTAACTTACGAGTGCTTTTAATTAAGAAGTAACCAACTATTTTTTTTAATTCAGACCAAAAAAGGAGAACGTCGTAAAAGTCGACCAGAAGCAGAACAAGAGAAAGATGAAATTAAAAAATTCAAAGAAAATCTTCTTCAATCTATTGCAGTTGGGGAGTAAGTACCTATATTCAATAGACCACGTTTTTACATTAGGCATGTTTCATCGAAGTTTTAGATCATTCTAGATGTTTCGGATCCTTTAAATACCTATATATCTAAATAGAGCACCAATCACAATCAATGAAAAGAATTTAAACTAGCTAATAATTTTATATGTTTTTGAGATAATTTATACGAAGTTACAAAATTGGGAAAAATTCAAAGATCTCCTTTATTTTAATGGTGAATTCTTGAAGAGGATGACTCAACAAGTATTATTATATTTCAAAATAGAATTTAAAACTGCTTAAGCGATTTCTACAGATCACTGGATAATGCCTCTCTAGCTATCCTTTTGTAATAATATTTTTATATCTATTGTAAACTTTATTATATGATATTTATTATTGGATAACATTAGACAGTTGGGCACATAATAGAAATGAAATTGATATTATGGATTGTTTTCTTGTAAAATATTCTTTAGCTTTCAAAATGTACCAGGTGAATGCCAAAAATAAACAATAAAATATTTTTTTTCTATAGATTTTTTTAAATCTTCGCTTTACTTTATTATGTCGACTAGAGGGGTATAAAATATTAATAAGAGAAATAAAAAAAAACTCTTGTACACATAATAAATCTACGCCACGCGGTATCTAGATGCTTATTCCCCGAATTAATTTTAAAAATAACTTTTAAATGATTTTTTTTTTGTATACATGAAAGGCAACCGTTACTGACTGATATATCAACGCACAGCTGAAACCACTTCACAACAAAATGAATTTTCCAAAACTCACCCTCTAAAGGGGTAAAACGAGGGTTCAAAGTTTGTGTGGGAAATTAAAATTTCCACGCAGACAAAATCGCAGGCACCCACTAGTTTGTTAAAAAATTTGTGTAGTGTCTGACTACATTGAGAAGGCCCGCAGGTTCATCTAAGAACCATTTCAGATTATGAAAGTAGATGTTTCATTTTGGGCCAGGTCTATGTACACGAAAAAAAGGATAAACAATAATTTAGGATAAAAAAATAGGATAAACAATAATAAGCATTCTCAGAAAAACAATAATTATTATGATCTTTTTAATGGTACAAAGTAGAATAATACTGCGTTTTGCCGATGTCTTTATTAAGTCTGTGGTAATATTAGTAAAGGAAACATAGTAAGTTCAAAAATGTAATGTGTAGAAAAATTTTAAGAGAACTAAAGCATATTCAAAATGTCTGAACAAACTATAGCAGCTGAAAAAATAGTTTGGGGTAATATTTTTTGGGCTCCGTAGCCAAAACGCAAAAAACGGAACCCTTATAGATTCGTCATGTCCGTCCGTCTGTCCGTCCGTTATATCACAGCCACTTTTTTCCGAAATTATAAGAACTACACTGTTGAATCTTAGTAAGTACATGTATTCTGTGAACCGCATTACACAAAAAAATATAAATAAAATTAGAAATTTTGGGGGTTCCCCACACTTTAACTGAAACTCAAAAAAAATTGCACCAAACCCATACGTGTTAGATATCTGTGGATAGGTCTTCAAAAATATTATTGAGGTTTCTAAATTGAATAGTTTGCGCGAGAGACACTGCCAAGCTGGTAAAATGTGCCCCCCCCCCCCCGTAACTTCTAAAATAAAGGACTGATATAACTAAAATATATATATGATGTATGTTACTATGCAAACTTACACCGAAAATTGGTTTAAACGAGATCTTGTAAGTACTTTTTTTTAATACGTCATAAATCACAAGTAAATTAAAAAAACTATTATTTAAACATCCATCAAAGTTACAACGAACTGCAAGAACTTTTATATTATGTTACTTGCTGCTACGGAACCCTTTATGGGAGAGTCCGACTAGAACTTGGCCGCTTTTTATTTATTTATATATAAGGTAAAAGAGTACTTAGAAAGATTTTCTTGAGTACTGTGCTGTTATTATATTTCTGAACTATAGACACTTGACACTACTTGATACATGACTAACAGGGACGTTAATTTTCTAGACTTGATATACGCCAAACTGACGTTGACCAAACTATGTTCGCTAATGTAGATTTTGAATGTCATAATTAAAATTTCTGTACCGCAAAATAAAGCAAAATATGGAAATTTTAATGGTCGGAGACGACTATGTTCTTGATTTGTTTTATTTGTTCATTAAGTACAAGACATAGCCCAAGTCCATACAAATATGAAACATCTCCTTTGCATATTTTATTTTCATACCACACAGCCACACTGACACGGTGTCATTTATCACATGCATTACACCCCTAACGGATTTTAGCGTGTAAATAGCCATCCCTTGTCAGACTGTCAGCAACAACAAGACAAGCGATACGTGACAGCGTCTCGAGAACGATCTACCTCACCTTCAAACATTTTAAAAGCAACTCGGGCAGCATCAAATATTTACAATAGCCACCTTACCGGGGTACATTCCGAAGACCTAATGGACTGTTTTATTTTCTACAGGAGCTCCATAATTTCTGATAGTGGTTCGGAAATAGCCATCCCTCAACCGGCGCGGTCTCGATCCGCTTCCAGAGCGAGAGAAGCGCTTTCCATACCAGCTAATGTGTTAGCCGAACTCGATGAGACGAAGCTGTTCGAATTGAAAGAGGTAAGTAAAAGAGAAGAATGAAAGAATTAAAATGATTTCATAAACGAAAAATAGACGAATTTTCAAATTGATTCATGGAATGAAATGATTTGAAGTACAAAATTCATTCTGTTTTTTAGTCTTTCTTTCTGTACTCGTTAATCATCTTTATTATTTATGCTGACAGTCTAGACCAAGCTAATCCATTAAAACCTCTTAAAAAAATGAACATTAGCATCTTCTCTAATGTTTTTTTTTATTTCGATAATACAAAGCCTTTTTGCTATTCCCTTTAGATCAGCCTATTGACCTGTTTAAATGATTCAATTTCAAATGCAGAACCTCTTTCAAATACTGTGAATTCGATTTCTCTAAGCCAAAACTCCAAAAGAAAAGCAAAGCTACATTTCACCTTTTTCACCTATATGCCGTTTTCGACCTTAATTTAAATGGAACTCACTCCGTCCTAAAAGAGCTCTTTGTAATATTTAAAAGGAAAAGTACGTCTTTTAGTGTCTACTGCACCCGTGAGACTAGCCCTAAATTCTGAATGGATATTAATGTGATACAACACATTTAAGTAAATATTAAAAAACTTCACATATCGTCTACGTTGCTTTAACAAAAGCTTTAGCACATTGATTTTTTTTAATAGAGGCTAAAGTTCTATACTGGCAATCAGAATCTTCAATATCGTAAACACCTACACATGATATGAATGTTTAACATATTAGTTTTATTTTACGTTCCGTTCATTTTCTCAGTAAGGTATCGATGGAGTTCCAAGAACTTCGATGAAGTGATCCTATGTCGTTGAAGTTATTGGAACTCTTAGGAATGGAGGGATTAATTCATGAAAGTATCACTCCGTTAAAATTCTTGGAATCGCAAGAAATGAGAATTTCAGTGTATGATATGAATTTCATACCGTCACGTATTCCCAAGACAGTTTTGACAGACAGCTGGATAAAGTAGTAATATAATCAATTAACTTCCAATTCAATGTAAAAATACACGCCTGTTTGTGATATTTTGACACTTGCCAGGGAATCAAAAGCTATTGAGGACTACTTAGAATTATAAATATCTTATGGCACTAGTACAGGGAACATCAGATAGAGTTTCTACTGGTAGTAGGAAGGTACAGCTGTGAGTTAGATTCGCACTTTGCTGAACATAAATGTTAATCTCTATTAAGAGATAATGATTAACATTTATTTTCTTCGTCTATCAGGGTAGATAATGAAGAAGAATTGGACACGTATTTTTCTTTTTTCACATAATCAAAACATTACAGATATATATTGATTTGAAATGTCGCATGATGTCACGTCTTGGAACATTTTACTTTACGAGCCCGACTCCCTAACTTTGACGCGCTGTATGTTTATAAGTTTTTGGTTGATTGATAAAAGAAAAAATAAGTGTCCGTAATTTTTTAACAATCTAGCTGCCGGACTTAATTGAATTTCGTTTTCTTTGCCCCGTCACCAACCCTATTACTTGATGAACCTAGTTGTACTCCAGAATATCGCAAAACCACCAAACTCATTTTGTTTTTTTTTAATCATTAAAGTGAATATTTATTACCACTTAGTAAAATATTCTTTATTTGTATGTTGTAATTCTTGTTGAACGAATGATTTGTTTGTTCCAGGCATTTCTGTTGTTTGACTTGGATGGCGACGGGTGTATAGACCACAATGATTTAAGAGGCACGCTAGTAAGTCTCGGAGAAAAGGTTGACGAGCAGGCAGTAAGGAATATGCTAGCTGAGGTGATAATAAACCCTGATGGTCACCTTCTGGCCAATATTTATCCTTAGTTATTTTCTTAACTATATATTGTTTTAAACTTTCATGGTCACTAACATTATATATTTCGGAGTTACGTAATCATGGCGCTTACAACAGTGCCGAAATATCGAGGACTCACTAAAAAACAAGGTACATATTAGCAATCCCGTTAATAACTATAATTTTGTTAAATACTTCTATCCCAACTAGCACACAAACTGATTAGACAGGTCTTGTTTAGCTAAGGTGTCAGTATAACAGTATTTTATATTATTATTAAGTAGTATTTCAGAATATTATAACGCTTTATATATATTAAAGATATAGTCAGGATAGTAGCCGCACAACGATAACCAATAATCGTTTAAGAGGTACAATAATGTGTGATAGATCGCTTGAACATGCATTTGATCTCAAATAAAATTAAAAAATCTGTTGCAACTCTATTAAACCTCCAAGGTGACCTGTAATAGTCTAGAGCGGTGTTAAAAACCTCTCTTGTTTCCTCTCTATCTTTAAGAAGTATAAGTCTTGTATTCAAACCTTATCACTCTACAGTACCATAAGCAACCTGCCTTCATAACACTAGGACTTATTGTGCATACTATACCTCTTTCATACCACTAAAAGTGGTACACTGTCAAATCTTCTTACATTATACAACTAAATACTGGAGTAGAGCTTTATACGTAGTTATTATACTGTTAAAAGAATTGCAATCATATTAATAGCGCCAATATGACACTGAAGGTGATTTTATTTATGTAATTTCTGTTGCATCTTTTTGGGCCCTACAAATAAGCTTACAAAGAACTGGAGTTCATCTGTAATTGTATATTTACCCTTATATACAACTTTTCTAAACCCTTATTCTCTAATGCAGAGAATACTACCGTAACTATACATTTAAAGCCCGCAGAACGTAAATTGTAGACCATCGCAAGCTGCTAATAGAAGATGCCATTAGACGTTATTGTAACTTAAAATCACTGTGGGTTCTGATGGTTATTTTCATGACTATAATAACAATAATTATTACTGGAAACTACACAATAAACTACCACCAAACGTAGCATATAAAAACACCACTGAGCAAATTTATTATAAAGAAAATATAATAACCTGAAATTTCATTAGCGATAAATGCTATTTAATTGTTATTAATGTGCATATTTTGCAGGTGCGTGAAGAAGTTAAATAAAACTTGTAAATTTATTCACAGTAATCTGGCACTCAATATTTCGCTTCTTCTTCGCCAGATTACCGTAAATACCTATATAGATTTTTTTATTATAATAATATGAAAACACAGTAACAATACTGTATCTTATCTTGTTATTTTTTGTTCGTAACTCTTTCACATATAACTTCTATTCTAAACCAATTGTAGATTTATTAAAGATCATATACATACATTAAAAAGGTACAAAAGTGTATTAATAGAGGCAATTTTGTACAGTGCCGCTATAATAGCTTCTTAAAACTTAGAAAGTATATGCCTTCACTCTTAAGAGCGCTTGTTGAGTTATCAGCTGTATAATCTGTGCCCACTTTGAAGGTACAAAATCTCTGTAGCCGCTTATACAACAATACTGTATAGCTTCTTTATACATCTGAAGTATTAGAAAAGCTGAAGATCTCGCCAATTTTCATTAAACGGCTGTTATAACGCTGTTAATACGGCCTGTGTGCTAGTTGGGATGCATGTAAGGTATTTCTGTCTAAAATTTATTGTTTGTGTGTGTTAAACTTAATTAATGTTATATATTGAAATAAAATTATTAACATTCTGCACTCCACCTTCATACACATTTTTGTTATGCAAAGTCTTACACTTCTTCATGAGAAAAGTGAACTTAAAACGAAATACAAATGTCACATGCGGCATTTATTAAAACTATGAAGAATTGGTCGACGAAATTCAACACACATTTACTACGTTGAATTTTTTGGTACATTTTGTTTTCTTGTTTACTTCTAATCAAAGTTCTTATAGCAGCCACTTTTTCGAAATGACTCGTGACGGAGGTACTATGCAATCTTTGATGCTATCATCCTAACTTAGTCCCACAATTAAATAGTGAAGTGCTAAAATTACCTGTGTCAAGTAACTGTGAGATGTATTTATTCCAACCACTACTGAAAACCAGTACGACCTGTGGACGTATGGCCAACACACCGCATCACGCAAATGTAAACCCATTAAGGTTTCACAGTTGAACCTCTCTCCGTTCAGAGTGGCCGACTTCGTCGACCTTTCTCTAATTTCACCCAAAAACCACGACGAAGTATTTGGAAAAATGTTTGCTTTGACATCGCGTCCTTGAAAAGCGCCCGCCTGGAAAGGGTTAATTGCTGAATTATTAAATGCTATTCCCGTGTGGGAGCTACCAGCGCGTGACTTTGTCTGCGTAGAAGAATCGAATTTTAATACTAGACCTTGACTTAGACTAAATGGGGGATCCATTTCACTATGGTGTTTTTAGGTCATACCAAAAATTCATCAAAATCTGTACAACGGTTTAGGTGCCAAAGCATACTATATATATACCAACTGAGAGACTTTGTTACTTAAGGACCTTTAATATGGTTCTGGCTATACAATATAATTATCTACAATTCATTATCATATTTAAACGTTTTTAATAGAACCATATTATGGCCAAAAACCTTTATATTATATTATACTTGACGTACATTTGGAAAAACAAATACTAAAATATAAGATACTTGAAAAATGGAACAAACTTGAAAAATGATACTATTCGCCATCAATTCATTTTTTAAATAAAACTCTGGCGTTCTGTTGTAATTTCCTTTACCCTAATGCAATACGGTTTACGAGATTTTATTCTGTTCTTTCGCAGTCTCCACGGACAACTCAATTTATTAAATTTACAGGACTTTTATTTACAAATGAGAGTTATTAAACGATGGTATTTGAAGCAATAAATGACAGAACAATAAGACAAAAATCTAAGGACCAGGAAAATAATTCCTCATCTGTTCTGTACTGTGTACATTAATCCGCTCATCCTCTTAGGTTTGCCTACATTACGAAAACCATGAAATTATGTTCATTTCCCCTAGGGAACAGCATGGTAGGGCTTAAATGGCCATCTTTATCTCCTTTAATATTAACATTTTGTTAATTAATTTTATGGGATCATTTGCAACGTGATAAATTATAATTATTGAGTTTTAATTTTCATAAAATAACAAGAAGTTATGATAAAAAATTAAATAGAAACACACATAAATGATCATTTCAGTCAATTTATCCTAACTTACTAGGTACTTCTTGATTACCTGTATCCACTGCCTCATATAAAAATCACTCTTTATTTACAGGCACCGAATCCCCTGGATTTCGACGCATTTGTCAACCTTCTCGGGTATAAGACACTAGAATTGGATTCGGAAGAGACCCTGGTGGCAGCACTGTCGCGTTGGGACAAAGATAACACTGGATTTATATCTGAAGAGAGGTAGTTATATTTAAATGCGTTAATAAAGTTAGCGATGGGTGTTACTTCGATTGCAGAATGGGCTGAGTTCTTTATTTTTATAAATAGGTCCGACAAATGACTCCATCCCACCTGATGTTAAGTGACGGTGAAGTCCAGACGTGAAGATAGCTGGTACAGCAGCTCTAACTGGTTGCTTCTTCACGGCTCTTTTAAAGGATCCCAGGTTGAAGGAGAGAACACGTGAGCGGTTCATTTAGAGCCCATAGTCAAAAAGGAATTCCTTTTGTTTCGAGTAATAAAGTCCTTAGACATCAAAATAGCTTTAGTAAACACTACAAAAAATATAAGTAATTATTAAAACTGTTGTATAAAAAAATGCCCATAATTTCAAATTAGTTCGTTCTCAGTTATTGTTCAGAAACAGTAGTTCTTTTAGCTTTGGAATCGATGGTTCATAGATTTTTAAAGATTGCAAAGAAGAGTACTAGCTAGAACACTATTTTGTTATTACTTATCTGCCCGACTATGAGAGAACGTTTACCCCACAACTCAAATATCCTCACATCAAAACTGAACTTGTCAATACGTGATTAAATATTGAAGCGCTGCGCTACTCGCTCTACTGGTAGTGGTAACTGGCAACTCCAAGGGGTTTGGGTTTTAATGTAATTAATTTACGTGATCACCGGGTAATAACGGCCACAAACTACGTGAACAGGCCAACTTATCTAATCTCTGCGGTATAGAAAGTTCGCGAGGAAATTATTAAGCACTGCACCTCACACCGTTAATGATTAAAACGTTATTGGATCTTGGACCTTATTGCACTCATAAGTCATAGCACCTCCGTCGTGATTGCTCTTATAATCAAATTCTTGTTTGTAGATAATACGGCAAACAATTTCTGTAGGAAATTCAGTGTTTCGTTTCTTCAGGTGAAGATATCACATAGCATGTGATGTGGGCAAAATAATGGTAATACAATATTAATATAACAGAGGATAGATGCACAAACTTTCAGGAGCTTATGCTCAGTAATTCTTAGTTTTCATTAATTTGTTTGTATCATTAAAACGATCTAAAAACACGAATACAATCCAGAAACACAAATTCAAAGAAAATTCATGTCACGCATATTGATAAATGGCGGCGGAGCGACACCGGAGTATCGTCGTTTCATCCATTTTTACCTTCCAAGCAAGGAGACTTAACCAATTTATAACTCTAAAAGAGTTTTATTATTGCAACATAGGTATTACGCAAGAATGTTTTTTAGATACCGTCATCCCACGGGGGCCATAAACAATACCGGCCCGCGATTAAATTATATTTTCTGCTATTTGCATGATTTATTCGCCAGTTATCCAGAATCGTCATGATTTAAAACGGTCCACCACGCGTTGTTTCGGGACCATATCACGCGGAAAAGTGTTTAATAATTCTTCTCAGCCAAATGTATCCCCGACTGTTACACCTACTTTTGGTTAACGTCCAATCAAAATTTGTTTTTGTTGACCTGGGGGTTATGAAAGGGTAAAATATATTGACCAAATGTGTTAATGTGAAATGCGTATACGTAAATTGTTTAATATACACATCTATTATAGCCAATGCCTTTGTCTATACGAGATATTTCAGATATGTACTGCGATGACTATTAGATTGCTTGATTAACTCGATCTTGATTTTAATATATTATAGAACATCTAATGTTCACGAGATATTGTAATATAATATTTTGAAAACTATATAAATATCAGACATTTCTTCCTTTAATAGCAGAAAAATACATCATCATTAATATCCAACATCAATTTACAATTTTCCAACAATACAAAATTTTATTAGAATCGAAAGCGTTATTTATAATGCGCTTACAGCGGTGCCTACCCTGTTGCGGAGAGGTTTATTAAAATTCCCAATGTAATCTGTGCCTTACCTCAACTGGGAGACCGCCATATAATTCGGGGTAAAAATTGAAGAAAAGGTGAAACATTTGTATTCGGAGGGTGGTTTAACAGAACTCAGTTATTTGTTCCGTATTTCACAGGATCGCGACGACTCGGATCATAACTTTTTGATTGTTGGCTGAATAAAAACGCTTTTTTATTCACCCTGTTTTCGATTTGACGTATAGAGTTACACAGGGACACAAGACTTTAAAGGGACAGAGAGAAAGAGAGAGATAATAAAATATTTGTCTATGTGTTTTACTCTAAACGTTTTATTAAAGCAGTAGTAGGTAAACACCCAGGAGTCTAGCCTACTTTTGTTTGCGGTAATAAAACATGAACAAGATGGAATTTGTTATGAAAAATCGTATATTCTACATAGACAACGTCGAGGGAACCTAATAATTAAGATAATAATATAAATGTAATATAATAATATAATCGCTTTAGTTGGCTTGATTGTTGTTTAAATCCGTCTTACATGAACATAAAGCGAAAGAAAAGCTTACATTGTAATTAAAATAAAACCTTAAATGTTGTATGTTATGTATACAACAACGATAGTTCAAAAGTCAAAACGGTAATTATATCTCCCTTTGTGAGTCCATCATATTCGCTAAAACAATATTAATATAAAAAAAATACTTCTCATTCCAAAAATCATGACTTTGTGAAGGAAAAAAATCAATTAAAAATTATTTAACGGGCGCCTAAAAACAATTTCTAAAGAGGCTGTCAAAGTTGTTGGCAACTGATTTTATTACGCAACGCTAAATCTCTTAAAGACATCCAAGAAGCTAAAAGTAACGAAGAGGTCATCGGGCGTTGAGAAATGCGTTTTTTCATAAGACAAATTTGTTAATAAACTCGTTTTAAGTATCTATGATGATAGATCAAGAACCAAGTATAGTCATAAGCGTAGCGAAATCTTATACCTATTTGGTAGGTATAAGATGAGTTTTAGGACTACGAATAACAACTCTTGAAGATTTAATTTGCACGATTTCATAAACAGATTACCAAAGCGGTACCCAACAAATTTTATACAAAATATTATCACATAAGGTTTTCAAATTAGTATGGAAAAAAAACATTAAAATGGATTTGGATTAAGATATAGGGTAGATATATCACAGAAAAAATATTGCATCCCATGGGATTCCCACTAAATTAACTACAGGACTTATGAATTTCCACAGGCTGGGCCGGATTTAAGGCGGGGCGGATGGGGCCCATATAAGAGATAAAAAAATAAACATTTCGAATGCGACAAGCCAAGTTTTCGCGCATTTTGACTGTTAATTTCAGGGGAAGAGGGGTGCAAATCGTAAGTGGGTGGCCTGGGATGCCAGATTTTTTAATGCGCCTTTCGTTGCCCCAGGGCCTCCTCTAAATACGGCCCTGACCACAGGAAGATTTTCTAGAATTCCGAGAATCAGAGTTTCTCTACGGATTTCACAATTTATGGTTTACGCGAACCACATCACGATTCACAAGTAACAATTAGAAAGTAATGACTTCATATCTTTTCAGAATTCGCCACGATTTGATGACATTTGGTGATCGTTTCACGGAAAAGGAGGCAGATTATGCTTTGGACGAAGCACCCATAGTCCAAAAGAACGGCAACTACATGATCGACTACTTACGCTTCTGCAGTCAACTGGCAGGCCTCAGAAAAGCGAATAAAAAGCAAACATAATCAAGCAAATCCATTTTGATAAAATCAAGCAATCGTCTACATATTTTTTTTTAGTGATAATTATATTGTATTGGTCAATAATATAATTCATTAATGATAAAGGCATTTTTATTTCTGCTTCATTCTTCTTCTCTAAAGCTATCAAAAATTCTTAAAAAGTTGAATCGGCGACAAAATATGTCAGAAGAAGGAAATGTATAATGCTATGACATTTTCATATATTTTTTATTTAAAAAAAGATGCTGCGCCATATGTCAAATATTAGGGCAAACACCATGACAAATAATATAATAAATATATATTAATTAACTAAATATATTCACTAAACGACTGCAAAATTGAATTACCACAATTTTCCATAACAATACCTTGAAAAGATGATTAGTATAACGTAGCATCGTAAAAAAACAGTTTTTTCATACCTAATATGTGCTACCGACTCCTAGATATATTCACTCCTAAAATTTCAAGTACGTACGGGAGTTTATGACTCCCGCTAATTACAATATTATAAAAAAATGTAACCTGACGTCAATAACGTTTTTGTAACTATTTTTGACTTTTCAGACCATTTGGAAAGGCACCGGGCCTGATTATGGCTTAATTTTCTATTCTTCTAGCTATATTTGGCAATAGTCATCAACAGCCTATTAATGTCCCCACTGCTGGGGCACAGGCCTTCCCTATGGATGGAATAGGGAGAAAGTTTTGGTCACCCTTCCAATGACCGACCACTGCGAAAGTTGCTTAACTTCAACGATCGTAGCCAAACGCGCTAACCACTTATTTTTTTTAAGCTTATTTATTTTATATGCTTTTTAAGGAGAGATTGTCAAAATTAGTTTTAAGATTAGAGAATCATGCCAGAATTAGACCCTGTAGAGTTTCTTTAGTGCTTTTAGTGTGTCGTATTAATAGGGTTCTACAGTCAAACATGAAATGGTTGTTCTAAGCCCCTAAAACACCCCGAAAAATCCCACCCCACTAATTTTACGCTGAAATTCAAGAGAAAATCTCTAAGTTTGCAACACGGCTAATAATCAACACATCATTTTAATTGCCATGTTTTTAGCCAGGGGCACGCATTATTGAATTGGTGTCCAAAGTTGATCATAAATATTAATTAATTGTGTCATCGTTCCGAACTACTGCGTTATTTAAGAAATTAGGAAGTTAGCAATTTTCTGAGAGCAAAGTTGCGATGCTGAGAAATAGGGCGTTTTGAAATGGGCTCCGCGAAATAGAGAACTTTCAACAAGTAATAACGGACCGCCGCGAATACAACTTCGGCATTCAGCTACCTACATTTCAAAACTTTAAAAATTTACTTTAACTCCATTATTCCTAGCACTGAACGAAATATTTTGAAGCTGTTTGCAATGCTGGTATTCCTTTTTTGTTGTAACAGAACGCTGAAGCTTAAAAGTCGAAAATAATGTAATGCCTTTTTTGTACTTTTTTTACATAACTGTTATTAAATGAATAAAACAGGATATTTACTTTTTAAATAATGTATTTTAATTATTATATTTTATTTTTCAAGGTTCATTGTTCTAGTATATTTTTTTGGCTTAAGCTAGTTTTAGATAATAGTATATTTTTAAATAATATTTCGAAAATAAACTAAAGACTTAGACATTCAACCGTCGTTTAAATAAACAAAGAAGTATTTTACAACCAAAACAAAACAGTTTCCAGAACAAGAATGATATCTTGCTCGTATACAAAACATACATTTATAATCGTTGCTTAGAAAAGTTTTAGTATCATTCAAAATAAGATAGGTTGTTGTTTTGTCATAAAAAAAATCATCATCATCATCATCAGCCTATTAATGTCCCCACTGCTGGGGCACAGGCCTTCCCTATGGATGAAATAGGGAGATTGGGCCATGACCCACCACGCGGGCCCAGTGCGGATTGGTGGGTGCTAACGACTGCAGATGCAGCTGGGACCAACGGCTTAACGTGCCTTCCGAAGCACGGAGGAGCTCGAGGTAGTAATTTTTGGTCACCCATCCAATGACTGACCACTGCGGAAGTTGCTTAAGTTCAACGATCGCAGCCGAACGCGCTAATCACTTGCGCCATCGAGCTCCTCATAAAAAAAATACATTGACTATAATTTGGGTTAGAATGGTCATGCACGGTTGGCAATAAGCTGGCAGGGATCGAACTCTTTTCAAATTCCAATTTGAATAAAGAAGTTTTAAAGTTCAATTTACGAATTGTCTCTCCAAATATTTTGCGTGTAGGCACTTATTCGAGGTGGTCCTTTTAGATGTCGAAGTCAATCAAGACCACCTTGACAATCACATGCCGCCCGGCAAGGAAGGTGTACAGCAGGCAGGCGACACGCGGCAGGTACGGCCGCGGGTAGTCGGGGCAGTTAAACGTGCCGCGCTTCTTGTGACGTGAACTGTCGACGTGAACCGTATGGTACTCACTCGAGGTGCTCCTTGTAGATGTCGAAGTCGGTGAAGACCAGCTCGACGATCTCGTGCGGCGCGGCAAGGAAGGTGTACAGCAGGCAGTCAACGCGCGGCGGGTACGGCCGCGGATAGTCAGGGCTGCTGAACGTGCCGCGCTCCTTGCCGTACGTCGACGTGAACCGTATGCACGTACAACCTGCGAACAAAGATACCATAATCACTAACATTCTTTTAATATCTCCATAGTTAGGGTTGGGTCACAGTCCTTTGTTAGTGATAAAATCGAGAATATTAACGTAGAAAATTGTGAAAACGAAACATATTATAAAGCACCAACATAACATAAAATGAGTCCGGGAAAGGAATAAGCAAAATGAAATTTAGTCTATTGTAAATAGAATAAATTGGGTTTCTCGATCTTCTGACATAAATCAAGATGAACATTTTTATGATTAATTGGATCTTGTGCCTGATCCTGACATGATCCGCTACATCTAAACCTAAAACTAAATTTGCCAGAAGTCGCTCCTTTCCATTATTATCTGTAAACTGCTGTCAAGATTTGTTTTAGGATTAAAGACTTGCTAGAATCAGATCAATTAATATTTAATATCGGTCGCGTTTTGACCGAAGTTCGAAATGATTTGTTCTGCTTCTTTTTCCTTCATTCATTCTATTTATTTTATTCAATATCATTAGCCTCCTGCACTTCTTCTCCATACTATAATTATTCAAACATCTCAAAATTTACAAATATTTTTTATGCGTGGTCCAAAAAATACCCCACCCCACCTGATGTTAAGTGTTAGCGGTAAGAATGGGTCTCGATCACCACATAACAAAGACATTGAACTGTAAACAATTTATATAAAGTCCTCGACCTCCGTGGCCCAGTGGTTTGGACGCCGGGTTTCAAGGTGTCACCTACGCCAGCCGCTTACGCTTCTAGCGCGCGCACGAGCATCCAGCGACTACCATCAGAGGAAGTACACACGAAACAATTTATTGTTACATTATCATCGATGCCTATGAGTGTCCCCCCAAGAATATTCGTTTTAAAAAGGGGTAACAAAATTTTCCTTTCGCGCGTCAATATAATAATTTACACCATGTAATATTAAACATTGAATATCAAGGTATCATATTATATAAAGGTTATTGTTATTAATATTATCTTAAAATAGTCTAGTCTAGACATCTATCAAATATCAAGAGCATAAACAAATTAATACCAGACGGAGAACTTACAGTAATTAACTAAATTGTTCACTCTCCAGAAACTATTTGAATTTGACCTCAACGGTTCTCGTTTTGATCATAAAATCACATTTTAACTTGGTTCTGCTAACTGTCAGTACAAATAGAGAATTTATATATTTTCAAGTTACCAAGATCATTAACAACACAATTAACAATGCTTCGAGAACTGAGGTCCTATTCTTAGATTTTTAAGTTAATAATGTGTTTTAGAATTTATAAGTACCTATCTATTTTTTGTCCTGTAATGCTTTATTAATATCGTTTTGGCGATCTGGTTAGCGCGATATTTTTTTATATTGTGTAGAATATATCAATTATGTGGTACACACACAGTATGCTATATACATTTCAAGTTACATGTAACTTCCTTTTTCTTTCTTCTTCATTTTTCTTCCGAAAAGATAATAATTATTGCGGCGAGGTAGGTATAGAATTATAACGGTTATGTTTGATAAACGCCAAAATTTAACCCGAATAATTTTCATGAAAGTCAACGTTTATCAAAACAAACGATACTTATTTCAAAGATATGCGCATTTCAGACTTTGTTGATAGAAGTTTGTGGATGATCTTTTTAGAAAAAAATACTTTGACCCTAACATATTATGGAAATTAATTAAATTATACCTTTAAGTAACTTTCTTCATCAATATTATCTTAGGGCAAATAAAAACAGTAGTATTTCGTATGTTTCAAGTTTAAATAATATTACGTTAAATGATATTAGAAAAATAATTTTGATAGCTGCTCGAAATAAATTTATTTATCTCTGAATTTAAATATTGAATAACTTTATACCGTTTGCGATTGATATATATAAATACGTAGGTATACCAAATTAGCTTACCGATATTTAGACGGTTTCGCAATTAGAATTTGGCACGACTAGTTACTAGGTATTGGTCGGCGAGCATCGGAGCAGGTTCCGGAGAGATATCAGAAATTGGACGCTTCACCGACACGGACTATATTCGAAACTCAGCGGTGAAGATATCTCTGATGAGCAGTAATTGTATAATTTTGGGAGTGGAACACAAACTATATAGTCAAAATTAACGTTCATCTGAAGAAAAAAAATAAAAAGCTCTCTTTCACGTTTGGTTATGAGGTCTATCCGTTCGGTATTTTCCGTTACGGTATTGGGAATATGCAAAGTTTTTCTTAAAAAATGGTTGCCTGTAAAGTCGGTTTTACGGGCGAAGATTTTACGTGACAACGTCTTTTTCTCGGTAGAATATTTATTGATATGATAATAATTAAATTGCACAATAGGAACAAGGAATTGAATGAAAATAAGAATTGCACAAATTTTAACTATAGAAATATATTTTGTTTACTAAAACATTGTACATGTAAACTTAAACTTAACACGAGAGACTCATCGTAACGTTACCGAGCGTTACACTTTTTCATAAGTGACTCCCAGCCGCAACCTAATTTAAGACGTTGTCACGTCAATATCTGGTTGATACAACGGCAGCGCTCCTACCTTTTGCTCCAACAAGTTTGAGTTTCCCGTCAAAGGCTTTTATTCTGTTGCCCAGTAATGGTAGTTTTTTTACTTATTCTATAGGTTGTATAGTTTCCACAGTACATGAAATGCTATGTGTTGACCTGAATTTATTATTTATTAATCGTCCATCACTTTAGTGTAAGAACAAATATTTTTTTGGACTTCAAAAAGTAAACTAACCATCACCATTGTTCCCGCTACAAATAACACTACGCAGTTTTGTTCTCATCAAACAAAGAACATTTAATGGCAGTTCGACGACTTGACGACCTCCGTGGCCGAGTGGTATGTACGCCGGGTTTCAAGGTGTCGCCTCAGAGGTTCTGGGTTCGAATCCCGGCCGGGAAAATGTTTGTGTGATGACCGTTCGTGCCTAAGTCATGGTGTTAATATGTATTTCTGTATCAATATACTTATATATCAGCTTATTTATTCTATCCGTTACCCTAGCATCCCATAACACAAGCCTCGCAGTGATTATTTGGGGCTAGGCTAATTGGTGTAAGTGTTAGAAATATTCAATTATTTAAAACACTGCGTTACTAATACAAGCTTAGCGTGGACCAAGCAGGCTCTTTTGCGCTGTGTTCTATTTATTTAGTGAACTGGCTCCTCTTCAATGATAATGATGAAACAAACAATATCTACGTGCTACGCTGCGCTGCGCTTTGTGTCGCTATGTTTTGTTTCTACAATGCGCCCGCTGAAAGAATGCGTTCGTGTTAGGTCGTGTCAGTTCCATATGCTAACACAATAATGTACACTTTCAATAAGTCATCGATTCCAGGCCAAATTGTTTGATTGGATGACGGGCATTAAACATCAATACACAGTCAATGGATCGTAAAACATTTATTTGAAAATTTACACTTTTCAAGACTTTTTTGTCTTACATCATTATACATCACAATTCGAATTGTCTTTAATTTTATGGGATTTGAAAACAAAAACAAAGTTCAGCGGCTTTTCGGGTTTATTTTTTATGTTGCAATTACTTTTAACCCCATCAAATATTAGCTAGACTTTTTTGAAAAGGAAAATGTTAAGAAACCTTTTTCCGTAGTAATCGCGGATAAAGTTCCGTACCCTTAGCACAATTTTGCGAGTCCGAAATGTCATTGTCAAATGTGTACTGATTTTGAGTTCTAGTTGCGTCTGTTATGGCGCTGCTGTTCAAGTTTCCTTACAAAATTTGACAATGACATTGCTCACTTGCAAACTATTCGAATTCGATATTGGTTCGTACTAAGGGTTATCCAATATAATTTCGTGAATAAGATAAAAACAAGAACAAACCCCAACCTTGCTAATCACCAATTTTGCAGGCGTCAGAAGTAAATAACGAAACCTCGAGCAAATAAACTTAAGTGCTAAGTCAAGATCGGTTAGTAAAAGCAATTAGATGCGAAGATCCGAGATAAACAGAATCTAGCCAGGTGAAGGTCGTCAGTTTTTCCGAAAATAGTACGTTCCGTCCAATTCAGGGGGGTAGGTATATTTATCTAATTCAAAAGGAAAGGTAACAATATTGTGAAGGGCAGACGGAACAGTAAATTTGGTTGGATCGATTTTTATTGAATCAATACACAAAATTAAATATTATTGTGCGCACGTCACTTTAGTACTCAAGAGCAAATTATTGTAAACATTAAATGTGAAGGCTAATAAAGGATACATTATACTGACAGACAATATATTTTGTGTTTATGTATCAAAGAAAAACGTACTACGCTTGCGTCTCCGCCGCTGGACGCCCTCGGACTTATCAATCAAAAATAATTATCCAACAAGTCACGTGTTCATTTATAGATTAATCATGAAAAAAGTGTCAGCATCTACTTTTATTAGGTCTTTAAAGGTCATTAAGACTTTTGAATTACCTATGTGCGTGTGTGGCTATTGCACTTAAAAAGCAGAGGGCGTGTGGCTGCGATGGTTTGCTGCGCCTTGTTTAAATAAACCAAATATTTTTTTTATTTAATTATGTAATTTCTTGACAGTTTGATACCCACAAAATAGTGAGAAGACACGAGGTTAGTAAGGGGATTCTCAAAAAAGCAAAGCTAACGCGGACGAAGTGGCGGGCGGCCTCTAGTAAATATATATATATTTATTACTAGGGGTCGGTTAATTTTAGTTTTATGAGAATACATAGCAACCTGTAATTTTTCATGTCTCAATCTAGGTCGCAAACTATATGCGCCACAAATTTCTTCCAAATCCGTTCAGTGGTTGTAGGCGTGAAAGCGTAGCAAACAAACTAATTCACTTTCGCATTAATAATATTAGTAAGGATAGTTAGGATGTACTTATGTTAAAATTCAGGGATACGTTATACGGAATGGTCGGTTAGGGTCAATTGTAATTAATGGAGGGTCATACAGTATTCGACTCAGTGGCTCATCCCCAATTATTTAACTAGAGTAACATGTCGAAGGAAACTTGTAATATTGCGTTCGAGTGAAGCTAAT